TGCATCACTATTTAGCAAAACAGAAGAAATGCATTCTATGTCTACCAAGAAACACTGCAAATTTTAGAAAGGTTACGAAAAGAATTAGAAAAGCCCCTCCAACATCAACATTTGTTAATGTAAGAATGTCACTGATGGCAAGTTTCAAGATCTCCTTGGACAAAGCCTAGCCTTCGAGGCTGAAGACGGCTGCGAGTAACCTCAAGTACCCAAACCTATAGACTGGCAAGAGAGAGCAAGCAACAGCACAAAATCTCCTTTTCCCACATGAAGACTAGAATTCTATGCTACTCACTGTGCAAAAGAAAACTTCAAGTAAGAACACATAATTTTTCCTTATGCTACACAATCCTGAGGAATTTCTAACACATGCTATGATTTTCAGCATGTTGCCAACAGGCAATGCATTGTGAAGTCTGGTACATTTGCAATTGATGAAAAGGTCTTCTCTGAATCCAATATGCTGGAAAATCTACCAACTCCACCTCCTCACTCCTCTGTTCTGCTTTATCACCTTGAATCTTCACTTTTTCATAGGGCTCTACATTAATATTTCTTGTGATGCAGCACAATGCATCAGTAGCAATGTAGTAGCATTAATGTCATAATAACCTTCTCCAAGAGAACAGCATTTTGTAGGTTAAAAAAAATGTGTAATCTAAGCTATGTCACCTCCTCCTATTAACAACCTAAGTATTTTAAACACTTTATTAAATAGAACTTCCCAGCAGAAACATTAGCAATTTCTACATGCCACCTGTTCAAAGATTACAAGAAGCCACATTAATAAAACCCAAACAGCACAAAGACTCCTGGGAATGAGGGGAGGGATGGGGAAGGAAGGAAAGATGTGGCTGAAAGACTATCTGACCACTGTGAAGGAAACACTCCAGCAAGAGAGAAGACACCCAAACATCTTAAAACATGTTCCCTCCCCCTGAAACTCTTAAAAACGAAGTAATAATAAAAAGATAAATATTCATATAGAGCCCATCTACCAAAAGAAAATAAAAATCCTAAATTAAAATAAATTTAGGGGCCTTCACCAAACTTGCTGCAAGTTTGGGGACATAAATATCCAACAGCCATAAAGCTGTGAAAGCCCCCAGAATTAATAAAATAAATCCCACTTGCCTCAGACTGAACAGGGCAACACTGAGACTCTGCCTCAGTCTGTCCTATGGCAGGGCTATAGAAAGAAGAAAAATTTGAATTTTAGAAAAAACATGACCCAATTAAGTAAAAGACATGCATTCAAAGTTAACAAAATTCCAGTGATCAAGCAAACAAAAGGAAACGATTGCCTTCGCATCTACGTTGTTCGGCTCAAACTAAACCTTCTACCATCGGTAGCTATTTCTGAACTGGAGGGTTTGCTTATTAGCTTGATCAATGGAACATAAGTCAATTGTCTTGGGGCACTTTCCCCATAACTGATGGTATTTGCCATATTAGTTCACAAAAAGTAAAGTTAAAGATTCCATCAGCCACTGAAATATCTCACCCTTGCCTTGGCATATCATGTAGAAACTAGACCAGTACAATTATTAAGACATTAAATAATATTAAAGCAACCATTTTAAATTGCAGCCCCAGCTCATGGACTGATAGATCAGTCTCAATTTAACAGAAGAGTCATAATGCCCTTCTTATTGTTTTTAAAAGTGAAGTAATCTTGATGTTTCATTTCTTATCTTGTATTCAGAATTCTCTGGTTCCTGTAAAATAATTTCAGGTTATATATGACATTTTAATCCAAGTTTTGAGAAAGCAAATTACACAGTTGATATGCATATTGCTCAAGTGCTCCATACACTCCCAATAACTGCAGAAACCATACAAGTAAGATGCAGTTGAGTATGTTTCTAGAAGCTTGTTCACATTCTTCCATGCATGCACAGAGTGAGGAATTATGTACTGAAATTAAGATATACAGCCAAGCCTCATTTTTTTTTAAATCAGCACTTAATCTCACCTGTGAAGTGCAAAAAAACCTCAGAAGGCTCCCAGAATTTCTAGCCCATATAAACCAGCTAACTTAACTAATGCCAAAGCAGAAAGATATCCTAGAAGCAGTAAAAAAAATGAATAAATAAAAATAAAAAAGAAATCGTATTAAGACACCTGAGAAACTAACCTTGGTTCTTTCAAGGTTTTCCCATGTCAGACTCATCATTTTTGCCCTAAAAAAAACAGCAGAGTGTTTTTCTCTCATAGGGATAGTAAGAGACTATGTATAAAATAATTTATAAAACCTCATAAAAGTGCCAGGTATTGCAAATGTTGATTCATATAAATGTCTTTTTCCATCTAAGCTTTTTTGCTGCCTGTTTACTGTATTCCACATCTGCATTACACCCAATTTAGAGGTTTGACAAAAGCTGTTTACAAGATTTAGCTTTACTATGTGACAAATTTGGGGAATAATCAAAAAGCAAAGGTTCTGTTTATGTAGTTACTTCACTTGAGTCCCATGAAAAGCCTGTCTTCTCTAGCTGTTTAGAGGTGCAAAGGCTTCTAAGATCCCTTACTAAGGAGAGATTAACTAAAGCAAAAACCTGTTGGCATGGCTGCATCACACCACAGATTTTGTGGGCGCAGCTTTGTTGATGAAGCTTTATAAAAAGCTGCAGTCTTTCTATAGAAAAAGACTACAGTCAAAGGTATAAGCAAGCTTTCTCTTTTGGGAAAGTGCACCATAAATCCAACTCTCTCAATATTAAGAAGCAGTATCCAAAGAAATGGAGGCAGGGACCAACAGACAACATATGCATTGAAACTGCTGACTTGACACAAAAGTACATAGAAGAGGCACAAGAGTAACTGAACACAGCCACATCACAGCTCTCACAGCGTAGAAATGACAGGAGCAGGAAAGATTATCAACAGTAAAAAACAAAGAAAAACAAAACAGAAAGGGTCATTCACCTGTTTGCTGCAGATTAAAGCACATGACTGTATTTGGCAGTGTTTAGCTGGGGGATTATTGTAACATTAGTGTTAAGAAAAGTTCCATCTTTAAACGCTTACAAGCTCTGAAGTCCGTAATAGCTGTAATGTGATGTTATTATCGAAACAGCTACATGTTCACTATTTACAACTTAACCAAGACATCTTGCAGGATATGCAGAGTTAGCAGTGCATGCAGTCATGTTTCCCAAATACTTATCCCAGGCAAAGTAGGGATCCAAAACCAACATCCTAATAAAACCAATTACAAGAAGATGCTGAAGGGAGAAGGTATTTAAATTTAACAGGGGCAGGAAGGCAAAACATCCTTACAGTAGCAGCAAGATCTTGAGAAAAAGCAAGAAACTCCTCTAGTTTTACAAGAAGGTTAAGATCAATTTATAATGTATGAATTATGTGTAGTATTACAAAAAAAGATCAATGTAAGACACCATTAAATTCTCTAGTGTTTTGCTTGGTAATTTAACCTTATCAGACCAAAGGGGAAAAAACAGTATCAAAAGCACTTGCTTAAGCAGAACAGTTTCATCTCTAATATGTATGTATACAGCAAGGTGAAGAGCTAAAAAGATTCAACACTGAGGCCCACTCAGCACATCTGCCAGCCAATTACTGAACATCTGACAGGTGAACACCAGAAAGAACTGCTTCTCAACAGAGGCTTGGAGTTATGGTCTTCCAAACACTGCAGCAAAAGTGCTTGACAATTTTTAATGATTAAACTAAGGTCATTCAGTTAGAATTAGAATGAATTGGATGCTCTAGTATCTTTATGAGCTGTTCCATGATCCCAAGCCTTTGAAGCTGAGACACACAACCGTTTTATAGCTATACTGTATTTCTGAACTAAGAGACAGTACAGAATAAAGCTCTATGAAGCTTAAGTCCAGCAGAAAAAAAAAAAAAAAAGAAAAAAAAGAAATCAAAAACAGCACCCATTAACATCTATGGAGCTAATTATCTTTTTAATCCACCCTAAAGGAAAAATATCCTAAAAATTAAGTTACAGAGTTAAGGCTTGAGGCTGGAACACGTATCTAAAGTTGACCTGCAAATGAAAATCTCCTCACTCTTTTCTTCCTGTTCCAAGAAGGTGACCCAGAAAGTTCTCACTTCCTTTCCTCTACAAAGTACATTTGCATTCTCATCAGAAATACAGTATGTATTAACACAGTGATATTAGATATTCAGAGAATTTCCATCTTGACAGTCATCTATCACTTCACTCTTATAAAAAGGTAAATGACAAATTCAGATGGTTAAGATTTATATTTGCTAATTGTAATTAGGAAAACTGATGGAGTGGTCTCCTGCTCTAGACAACTCCATTAAATGATTCAGGAAACTCAATCAACATCTGATCACAGCACACAGGATGTCTCACTTTTTGGAGCCAGGCAAGATTGGAAATTTTGCATATTTAAAGTAAAAACACAGTATGTTACATACTACTTGGTCCATCTCTCCTTTATACACTGAAAAACAGAGTAAGTTACTCTCTCTTGCAGGTCAACTTCAATACAGTATCAACTGGAAATCGCTCACCCATGTGTCATGCACTAAGCTTCTAGAAATCTTCATCTAAGACTCCTGACATTCATGTGTTTGCACGTTTGAAAGGAAAAGTCAGCTGAAGAATGAACTAACAGGACGCACCTGGCACTAGGATGCATCTTACAGCAATCAAACTTGTATCTTGCAAATAAGTGCCAGGACGAGAAATCATTTAAAATTTATTGAGGATGAGAAAGCACAAAGAAACATATGCCATTAAGAGAAATTACATCCAGGAGTTAAGATGTGCCTCCTGCAGCCTCATTTTTTTGAAGATATAGTTAATAAGTGTACAGGTCTTTCTCTACTCAAGACGTGCAGCTAAAGGAGTGCCTTAATTTTAGAGCAAGGAATTCAGATTTTATCAAAACAGCACCAACAACTGTGTTCATTACACTGATAGTTACCACAGCATGCATCTGTACAAACCTTTCAGGCAGTTGTCCACAGCTGGTCACGAATAAAAAGGCATATAAATTTTTCTCCTCTTTTATTACAATTAAGTTTATAACAGTACAGAAAAGTCACATGACCTTAGGGGGTCAGTTTACTTAAACCCTGAAACAGAAGGAACTCTAAATACATTAAATATTGTTACATGTTCTGACTCTTAAATGTACAGGTAGTTGGGAACAGTTACAGCCCTCACCAAACTTATGTTGGGGACGTGAAGTCCAACAGCACTTGAAGTGCTGTGAAGGCATCATTTTACAAATAGCAACATAATGTTACAGAACTTGCCTTTAAGATGGTATGTTCATGTAATTCCAGCGCCTTCACAATTTAACGAACCATATTTACTATACTTCACTTCTAAAAACCTAGATGAAACATGAAAAAGAAGCCATACAGTATAAATTGCAACATCAGGAAAAGTTCCTGTTATTATTCCAAATATTTTTCCCATGTAAAATAATAATGTCCAATAGTTCCTTGCATGTGGGAAGATACTTATTTTTAAGTCACAATGAAGCCTTAATTGACGGAAGCTTGGCTATATTAACAGCACAAGATGAGAAAAGGTTTAATCTCCAAACCTATTAGAATGTGTGTAGTAGCATCAGTAGCGGCCACCTTGCGACATTACAGGAGGTCTCATTCCCATTGGAGGTCGAGGAGGTCCACTTTGGTAAGGGGGCACCATCGGAGGTCCCTGACCATAAGGAGGCATCGCTCCAGGAAGGTATCCTGGCATGCCCTGGTGATGAGCACCATACTGACCTATAAACAAAACATTTAAGATGCAAACAAGAATTCAAGTTTTTTAAAAGCAGCTATTTTAGGTGTCAACAGTGGGCAGAAGCTGCATTTTGTGAAAAGCTGTTTCTTCACAGTATCTGCCACTTTGTATTAAAAAAAGTTTATAGCAAAAACAAATCCTTAAATAAAGAAAATTAGGAAACTTATGATTACCATGAGGTGGCATAGGAGGTCTCATTCCTTGCTGCTGTGGAGGAATTCCTGGCTGTGGTGGCATCATACCTCCAATTGGTCCAACTGGTGGATTACCCAAGGACGCTTGTCCTGGTCGAGGAAGGTTACGCTGATATTTAGGCAGCTGTGCCCTTCTCTCTTCCTAGAAGTAGGAACAGATGATTGTAACACACCATAAGACTCAAGTTCAACAAAATCAAAGTAAGCAAGAACAAAATAGATTACACAATGGAACATTTCAAATGTCTCAAGAGTTCAAGAATATTATTAATAGCATATTATGCAGCAACCTTAACTTTTGGATTTTTATTTCCCTTCCAATTATTAACACTGTCGAATATTGTATTCTGCAGAGAGCACCTAAATCCTCCTCTTCCCTCAGGTGAGGAAAGTCACCTTCACAACAAGCTGAGGCAAAGCTAACACAGAGACATAAAAAATATCTGAACTGAAATTAAGACTTATTTGTTTTAATCTGTAAGTTCCTGATTTTGACTGCTATAAGTCTGAAGAAGTCTCAATGCTATTAAGTCTTTTGCTATAAATTTATCAACTGTATCTACTTAACTTCACTCTTAACTCACATACAAGAGTAATGCCCAAACTGTATCTTGGGCTGACAGTTGCTTATTGCTAACAAGAAGGCAGCTTTATTTGTAATAGCATCATTATGATATGCTAGTCATCGTTCTGTAATCAAACATTTTGAGGATGCAAGCCATCAATTAGCACTTTATGTTTTGTATTCTCACCATTACTACTGTTACGCAGAACACAGAAGAATCAGTCATGATTAGCATAAACTGCACTTTTCATCAAGATACGAAAAATATTTTAACTTACCAGTGATATATCCTCATCTGGATGGATCAACTTACTGGTTGCACTGGTTGTTGTAAGTGTAGCAGGCTTACTTGTTATGGATGTAGCTGGTTTAGCTGCAGTGCTGTTTGTTGTGCTAGTGGTTGAGGCTGTAGACTGTGTGTAAGCAGGGAATGTAGGTTTGGGGGGTTCTGTTGTTGTTGCAGGTGTAGAATTCAAAGGTTTGAAATCAGTACCAACTGGACCGGGAACAGCTGCAGCAGCCTGTGGAACACAAGGATAGATCAATAAAAATATTTATGTCCTAAAGTTTAAGAAATAACTTAAGTGATATTATCTGTTAGACCTCTGAAACCTTCCAGTGAGATACATAATTAAAATAAGCTTGACAAAAGTAAAGTTCAGCCTTATCACATACTAAAGCAACTGAGAAACACAATAAAACCCAGTATATACATACTATATATAAATATATATGTACACACACTCACACAGACACACACGCACACACACACAGAGGAAAGTCTAGGAGAAGCAGATCAAAAGCCACAATTTTAAAAAAAAAAAAAAAAAAAAAGGAAAAAAGAAAAAAACACCACACACTACTGAAAAATTTTACCTCAAATACAAAGTTCTGTAAATGTCTAAATATTTCCTGATTCACTGTTATATTAACAGCCTGCAGCTATCAATATACAGTTCGCTCATTAAGTTATTAGCATACTTGGGCTATTGTTAGTTTATAATAGAAAGTGTTAGCATTCATTGAAACTAGGTATTTAGAAAGTGTTTAACATTTAAAAAAGCTCTACTCTGTATATTTTTTCTTTTAAGCATTCTCTCCATAAAAAAGTCACTGCAGTATTTTCACAAAGTACCGTAGCTACAGTTTTTTAATCTTCTTGTCTGAAGAAATCAGCTTAAGGCAAATACGAAGTCCACTAAAAATTCCAGCATGTCATTTTCTTATTTCCTACTTTGTTCTTAAATTAAATCTGCTACTCAAGAGAAGCTTGCTTTACTCAAGTTCTCTCTGAAGATGCTACAAACTTCAAAGCAATTTTTACTTATGAGAGAATGCTTTTGTTTCTAGGCATTTTACATTTACATTTTTTCACTAAACTTTCTAATCGAAACAATGTACTTAATTTTTTTAAAACATGTAATGCAAATCATGAAGTTTCCTACATGATGATGCATCATATTAAACGACATAAGCTAAAAAGCCTTGACCATGCATCAAGCTATCCACTGCCCAGTAAAATGCATTTATCTGCTTTCATGCTTTTTTAACCCTTTAGAACCAGGATGGAGCATTTCATTCTCTCAGTGCCTAAGAAAAAAATCAGGCACTTAGACATGCTGATTTCTGGCAAAGATGCAACTCACAATCAAGGACTCTGTAGTTTTACCAGCTAAACATAATCAGGAATATAACAGGGTATCTGAAGATGTTTAGACAATTTTAGGTTTTACAGAATGGTCCAAAGGGTTAAGTTGCAAAGCAATTTGTTTTTTTTAACTGCGACTTCCTGCGTACTTGTGCTGCGCTAGGAAACAGAGCGTTAGAAGATGCTGACAGACTTTCTGAATTGGAGGAAGCTGTACTTGAGCTTGTGACAGGTGTCCCCATCTGTAGCATAAAAGAAAGGAAACAGTGAAAAGTCTCCAAGCAAATGGGTGGAAAGTATCCAAATGAAAGGATTTCTTATGCAAGGGACTTTGTTTTTGTAAATGAATCCTTCCCTGCAGAAGTCCAAAATGCAAGTAGGACACTATAAAGTTTCTGTAACATACTTCTTGAAAGCAAGTAAAAGGAGTTACAGCAAGTGCAATCAAAGGATAGAAGTCACAAGCCATTCTAACCACCATCATTTCCCCACTTCCCTCCCCAAAATACCTAAATAAAATTTTACTGTTTCATTTTCCTCTTAAGGTTTTTTTTTTTTTTTTTTTTTTTTTTTTAAATGAGGAACAAAAAAAATCTTCATCCAGGCAATGTTTTAATACAGGGTGAATATGACTATGGGATAAATTAGTCCACAGATGGGTAAAGAGCCCATTACAAAAAGACTAAGAGAGCAAACTGTATCAAGATTTATACTCAGGAAATGTTAGGAAAAGTTCTATGCAATCAGATTCCTGCAGCTGACTACCGCCTCCCCTTGCCCACCCGAAGTACTTATAAAAAGGCAAATTACATGAATTAGGGAGATGTTTTGCCTATTCCTCTCTCCCTCCCTGGCTTACAAAACTTCTGCCTGGTTTCAGGCCTGTTGTAAGATAAAGTCTTTTGTAAGTTGATAAAGCACTGCATTGAATTCTGGCTTGGAGGAGAAAAAAAAAAAAAAACACCCTCAACCAGCTACTTCTGGAGCCTCCTCAGTAATAAAGAGCAGACAATGGCACAGTGGCAATTTAAGAAATGCAGTAGACTAGATTCCAGGCTATGAGATACCTTACCTGCCCTGCGCTTGGGAAGAGTGGTTTAGTAACTGGAGGCTGAGGGGTAGGTGCTGATGCAGCAGGAGCAGGGGGTCTATTAAGAATACCCGGTGCCGTCACAGGCTGTGCTTGTGTCATTGGAGGCATCCCAGGACGAGGGCCAACAGGAGGTGGCATGCCTGCAAACCAAAGGAACCTTTAGAGACTCTGGCTCAAGAAAGTCTAATCCTCTACCAAGGCTGTTCCCAGTGTTCTAAACAAACAAAATCTTCCCCCAGGGAAGATGTGTTTTTAAGGCATCTATAAAAGAAATCATGACAAATGTCTGCAGCCAGACATCAATTAAATGTCCATGCAAAGGACCGCAGAGTTGGCTACTTCAGAGTAAAACTGATTTTAGTTGTGCATTTTGCAATACTGAGAAATCAGGGCTGCTTTAAGAACTCTACAACCTCAAGAAATAAGGCTGGGCAGCTCTGTTTTGTCTATAGCAAGAAATTTCCAGTTAGTTTCTTTACACTGCAAGTTCACATTGGGTATATCACATTATTTCACAAACATTTTCCACCATTTTAATTTTCCAGCTGCAGTCACAAGAAAAAGGTCTGTGCGTGTAAATGAAGGCCAGACAACAGAAGAACAACAACAAAAACAGAAGAGCAATAGGAAAAAACAAACCTATATTCCATATTTTCCATTCACAATAGTCTGTCTTTTATGCAAGAGTAGCTTCTTGGATAATCCAAACACACACACAAAAATGTAGTATGTAGATACAACTTAGTTTTTTTAAACAAAGTTGTATTAATTTAGTTCTCGCCACAGGAGGAGTTTTACAGCCCTAACCTACCTGGTGGCATACCAGGCATAAGAGGTGGTATTCCTGGTCCAGGAGGCATCATCCCACCCATTGGCATCATCCTATTCAAAAGGAAAGGAATACTGGTATGAACACTCATGATTCATTGTTAAGACAACTGGCACATACCTGTATTAGATAAAAGGCATGGTAAACAATTTTAAGAAGTTCTCAACAGAAACAATCCCAAAAATACAGCCAGCTCCACAGTTTTTTTTTCTTTACCAAAAAAAGAAAATCAAGCAATAACAGCACACAAATTCCCCAAATTCTATTTGAACATTAATTCTTCAAGCTTTCATTCCCTCCATTATTAGATTTCCAAACCTGATTTCTCTGTTAAAATATATTCCAGAGTATTAGTTTAAGAATAATATCTAAGAATCTGAGCTGAATTGCAGACAACCTAAAGCTGTAAACTAACCACAAAGTGTGACCGAAAGCAGAGTCCAGATATTAAGGAAATTTCTGGTTTCAGTTACAGTAAATACTCCCTGTATTCTGGATTAAAAATAGATATATATACAAAAACAAAAGAAAGCCCACACTTTTCTGCAAGGAGTTCTAACCATGGTAACGTTTCCCTTCACACCTAGAAGTCTTTTGCCTGCTACTGATAACCTGAAGAAATGAGAATCACTAAAATGATTTGTTTTATCCTTATCTTATAGGGGAAACTATGAATTATGTTCCTTTTCAACACTACACACAACCTAAGCAAATCCTTTCTGCACAGGGCTGCAACTCCATAGAAGAGGTGCTGTCTACAACACTAAGTGGTTTTCAGTTGAGAAACACACAGAAAATTACAGGAAACAAACCAAGCCTTAAGCTTGCCTTCATTCTTCAGACACTCAAAGTTGGATTACTGGAAGCAGGATAAAGGAATAACTATTACTTTATTTAGCAAATTAGACAAGTATACAGCAGCGAGCTGCATACCAAAATCCCACTAAGAAGCAGTTTCTTCTATGGGACAGTTGGGATGTTTTTTCTTCTGCTCTTTATTCATGATGCTTGGTCTTTTTTAAAGAGTGCCAGCCTTTGCTATGGAACACAACAGGTTTCCCAGATCTATTCCTCTCAATTTGTATGTTACTGCTACAAAGGAATAAGAAGAGGAGATGTAGCAGTGACTGGCAATGTAGAACTGCTACTGCTTTCTGGATTAATGGTTGAAGAAGGGCAAGTCTTGCCATCTATTTCAACGACTATCTGCTAGACTGAAAAGTACAGATTAAATAAGGTAAAAGTGTAATGCAACAACATCATTCCATAAGACTTCACCAAAATGGAAGTGGATTGCAGCTTTTTGGCAAATCGTCTTTACTAAGTGGCACTAGATTCATCCAAAGCTAACAGTTTAAGGAATGCTGAACACCGGGGAGCCTAATAAGATCCTGTTCACTTATGCTTAGAAAGCCTACAGAGTCATGATGAGCAACCAAAAGATGTCTGACAAAATCATGACTTCTTCAATTCAAAGGTAGTATTTATGTCTCAAAATCAACTTCTCACCTTAGTTAAGTTTAAACTT